CCTGCCGGCAGTGACACCTGTTCTTCGCCCTGCCAGGAATGACCCCTGTCCTCCGCCCTGCCAGGAATGACCCCTGTCCTCCACCCTGCCAGGAATGACCCCTGTCCTCCACCCTGCCAGGAATGACCCCTGTCCTCTGCTCTGCCAGGAATGACCCCTGTCCTCTGCTCTGCCAGCAGTGACCACTGTCTTCTGCCCTGTCAGCAGTGCTCTCTGTCCTCCACCCTGCCAGCAGTGATCCCTGTCCTCCACCCTGCCAGGAATGACTGCAAAGCGAAACAAAAAAGAAAGCGCACCAACCTTTCGCATTACCTCAGTAAACCATAATTTATTGAATACAGAGTGATACTCACAAACATCTATCCACCCTTATTCTGAGTCCTAGAGCACAGGAGAGGTCGTTTCTGGTTCTAACTACCAGAAATGACCCGTCCTCTGCCCTGCCAGGAATGAACCCTGTCATCAGCCCTGCCAGCAGTGACCACTGTCCTCTGCCCTGCCAGGAATGACCCTGTCATCAGCCCTGCCAGCAGTGACCCCTGTCCTCCACCCTGCCAGGAGTGAACCCTGTCCTCCTCCCTGCCAGGAGTGACCCCATATCCTCTGCCCTGCCAGCAATGACCCCTGTCCTCCGCCCTGACAGGAAGGACCCCCTGTCCTCCGCCCTGACAGGAAGGACCCCCTGTCCTCCGCCCTCACAGGAAGGACCCCCTGTCCTCCGCCCTGACAGGAAGGACCCCCTGTCCTCCGCCCCTCACAGGAAGGACCCCCTGTCCTCCGCCCTCACAGGAAGGACCCCCTGTCCTCCGCCCTCACAGGAAGGACCCCCTGTCCTCCGCCCTCACAGGAAGGACCCCCCCTGTCCTCCGCCCTCACAGGAAGGACCCCCTGTCCTCCGCCCTCACAGGAAGGACCCCCTGTCCTCTGTCCTGCCAGTAGTGACCCCTGTCCTCCACCCTGCCAGGAGTGAGCCCTGTCCTCCTCCCTGCCAGCAGTGACCCATATCCTCTGCCCTGCCAGCAATGACCCCTGTCCTCTGCCCTGCCCCCTGTCCTCTGCCCTGCCAGGAATGACCCCTGTCCTCTGCCCTGCCAGGAATGACCCCTGTCCTCTGTCCTGCCAGGAATGACCCCTGTCCTCTGTCCTGCCAGCAGTGACCCCTGTCCTCCACCCTGCCAGGAGTGAGCCCTGTCCTCCTCCCTGCCAGCAGTAACCCCATATCCTCTGCCCTGCCAGCAGTGACCCCTGTCCTGCCAGCAATGACCCCTGTCCTCTGCCCTGCCAGCAGTGACCCGTCTTTCGCCCTGCCAGGAATGACCCCTGTTCTCCGCCCTGCAGCAGTGACCCCTCTCCTCTGCCCTGCCAGGAATGACCCCTGTCCTCCGTCCTGCAGCAGTGACCCCTGTCCTCCGCCCTGCAGCAGTGACCCCTGTCCTCTGCCCTGCAGCAGTGACCCCTGTCCTCTGCCCCGTCCTCTGCCCTGCCAGAATGACCCCTGTCCTCTGCCCGGCCAGGAATGACCCCTGTCCTCTGCCCGGCCAGGAATGACCCCTGTCCTCTGCCCGGCCAGGAATGACTCCTGTCCTCTGCTCTGCCAGCAGTGACCCCTGTCCTCTGCCCTTCCAGCAATAACCCCTGTCCTCTGCCCTGCCAGCAGTGACTCCTGTCCACCGCCCTTCCAGCAGTGACCCCTGTCCACCGCCCTTCCAGCAGTGACCCCTGTCCACCGCCCTTCCAGCAGTGACCCCTGTCCTCTGCCCACCTGCAGTGATCCCTGTCCTCCGCCCTGCTAGGAATGACCCCTGTCCTCTGCCCTGTCAGGAATGACCCCTGTCATTCGCCCTGCCAGCAGTGACCACTGTCCTCCACCCTGCCAGCAGTGATCCCATGTCCTCTGCCCTCCCAGTACTGACCCTAGTAGACACTAGTCTAACCAAGACACTTGCTGCTGTACAGGCATGACTCGTTTGGGAGCTGCCTAACAATGTAAACGTTCTGCTACACCAGACCTAAGTTTCAAGTGGAATAATGACATTTCCCGTACCTTTCTATCCTGGAAATGACAATAAAATCTTCCTTACTGGGTCACACACAGCAATAAACCATGGTAGAGGCTAGATTCTTCCCATCTACTATATATCCAAAATGAAAAAAAAAAGAAGAGTTGGGCTTCAGCCAAATTTCATCCACTGCCCGACGTAGGACATCAACCATGAATCACTTGGTGAAACAAAATAATCCACTAATAAATCTACACACAAACCAACACCCAAATGGGGTTTTTTTTGGTGTGTTTTTCGGTGTGACCTGTCCAGGGCTGGTTTCTCTATCCAACCAGGGGCCGGGAGAAGATGTTGGCTGCCTGGTACAGCTCCCTTCCTATATAGACCTGCTCGCCATCATGACATTTCCAGCCTGCTAAGACCTCCAGTTACGGAACCAGGGGCGGACTGACCATTCGGGCACTGCCTGAGGGCTCAGGGTCAGTAGGGGGCCCCATGAGATGCCCCTGGTACCTTTTCATAGGCTTTTTTGAGTGTGGGCAAGGGCACAGGGGCCCCAAGATCCCCTATTGCCTGGGGGCCCCATGAGTTGTCAGTCCGCCCCTGTAAGGAACAGAAAAGTGATAGTGAAATGCAGGGCACCCAATTGATCGCTGGCAGATCAATGCTTTGCCTCTCCAAGGCATCAAAGAGGTTCCTGGGATATAAAATGCATCACATGACCTGAAGTCTAGGTGTGCTAGCCTTTGTGAGCATGCTCTGATGTTAGAGAAGTCTCTACTACTAGGCGATGAAAGGTAGGGGACGAGAGAAAGCATTCGAGAGGTTAACACCTCCCACATACACACAACACTCCATTGTGAATTATTTGATGTGCGATAATTTGCGGTCTTTTAGTAAAATGTTTCCCACGTGAGTTCTCTGATGTTCGATGACGTAGCCTCTCCGGGTAAACCGTTTCCCACATTCCAAACACGAATAAGGCTTCTCTCCCGTGTGAGTCCTCTGATGTGCAATGAGATTGGCTCGCTGGCTGAAACATCTCCCGCACTCTGTACATGAATAGGGCTTCTCCCCTGTGTGAATTCTCTGATGTTTAGTAAGTGCTGAAATAAAACAAAAGGTTTTCCCGCATTCCGTACACGAATACGGCTTTCCCCCGGTGTGAGCCTTCATATGTACCGTCAGGTTTCCTATCTGGGTAAAACACTTCCCACATTCGGAGCATGAATAGGGCTTCTCGACTGTGTGGGACCGCTGGTGTGACAACAGCTCTGCCCTCCTTGTAAAACATATACCACATATGGAACACGGGAACATTTCAACCCCTCTGTGATCTATGTGACGGGTTACAGGAGGTGAGCAGTCAGTAAAGCGTAGTTCGTGTATAGGGGGGTCATAGGACAGGTCTGTAGTGTAGGCTTCAGGACGGGAAATTGGGGCAATGGGATTTTCTCTTGAAATATCTGCTGGGACATCATCTTCTAGTAGACCATCCGGAGAGGCCAAAGGGTTATTCCCACAGTCTTGTCCATCTGGAGGTAGTAAGATATGGAAAGGGATAGAACAACCTAAAAGGTCAATAAACAGAAATTACCAACACACCCTCTAAATCAGTGGTCTCCAAATTGCGGCCCTGGGGGCTGGCTGTGGCCCTTTGCTCCCCTTTACTTGGCCCTTGGGGCATTACTCCACCAATGATGGAGCACCAATCGCCCTACTAACACCATCAATGGGGCAGTATTCTTCTCAATGAGCTTTTCCTCCCATTAAAACCAATGACGGCACTGATGCCATTTTGTACTCCCACTGGCCACAGTCCGGCCCCCCTAAAGCCTGAAGCACAGTAAGCTGGCCCTTTGTTTAGAAAGTTTGGAGACCCCTGATCTAAATAAATAAAAGAAACTAGAAAAGAGCAATAAAGTTGAACTCCAGGATCCTGGCCGCTTCCATGCCTAGATCCTTTTCCCCAATGCACAGTCATTTTTTTAATGAATGCATAAACCACTTTCTGCACTGTGCCCGGGTGCTGGTGGGCAGGACTTTGCAGGTGCCAACCATCACATCCAACCTGTTCAGCTGGCACTACATCTCCCATGATGCAATGGAAAATGCACAGACGTTGGCCCAATCAATGGTTGTGGGCAGGCTGCGACCCGCTGCTGAAGAGCTCTCTAGTTCCTGTGTCACCTCCTCCCATGTTCACCTCCAGGACTTCTCCCGAGCTTCCCCATCCTATGAAACTCTCTACCCCAATCTGTCCGGCTGTCTCCTAATCTATCCACCTTTAGATGATCCCTGAAAACCTTTCTCTTTAAAGAAGCCTATCCTGCTTCTAACTAGTAAATTGCCATTGATTTCCTCCATCACCTCATCCCCCACAGTTATTACCTTTTGTACCACTCAACCCTTCCTCCTAGATTGTAAGCTCTAATGAGCCGGGCCCTCTGTTTCCTTTTGTACCAAATTGTATTGTAACTATCATGTCTGCCTTCATTTTGTAAAGCGCTGCGCAAACTGTTGGCGCTATATAAATCCTGTATAATAATACAGGTGTACCTCAGTTTACAAACGCCTCAGTTTACGTAATTTTTCGGTTTACGAATGAAAATCCATTGAAAATAATGCCTCAGTTTATGAATTTTTTACAAATTTTGTTTCGCAATACGAAGTGTATGTCAGTGCCGATTGTTAAATGCAATTTCCGGCTTTTTTTTTCTTCACTAAAGCTCACAGATTTAGCTGTCATTTTCTCCAGAGCTAAAGGAAACTTTGCTTCTTTTATCTCAGGAAAGAAACTAAAAGGAAACATTGTTTCTTTTACCTTGGGGAAATACACTAAAAGGAAACATTGTTTCTTTTAACTTGGGGGGGGTGGAGAATAAAAGGAAACATTGTTTCTCTTAACTCGAGGAAATACACTAAAATTAAACATTGTTTCTTTTAACTCAGGGATAAAAACTAAAAGGAAACTATGTACTACAGTATGTCCGCAGTCTCTGGTCATCTCCTGTAGTATGTAGTACGAGAAGTGCTGCGTTTTGTGAATGGTCCAGCAGTTTTCTGGGACCTGTCATGTGTCCCAGGAGACTACAGGGAGGGAGGCGATCGCAGCGGAAGTGGGAATGGGTACCTGTCAAATTCAGGTACCTGCTCACCCCATTCCCCCAGCTCCTCAAAGGTCTGCAGTCTATGGTCATCTCCTGTACTACATCTGCAGTCTCTGACCATCTCCAGTACTACGTCTGCAGTCTCTGACCATCCCTGTACACGTCTGCAGTCTCTGGTCATCTCCTGTTGTATGTCTGCAGTCTCTGACCATCTCCTGTACTACGTCTGCAGTCTGGTCATCTCCTGTACTACGTCTACAGTCCTGGTCATCTCCTGTACTGTGTCCGCAGTCTCTGGTCATCTCCTGTGCTGTGTCCGCAGTCTCTGGTCATCTCCTGTACTGTGTCCGCAGTCTCTGGTCATTTCCTGTACTGTGTCCGCAGTCTCTGATCATTTCCTGTACTGTGTCCGCAGTCTCTGGTCATCTCCTGTACATACAGTCTCTGCATCTCCTTTAGTACATCCACAGTCTCTGGTCATCTCCTGTACTATGTCCGCAGTCTCTGGTCATCTCCTGTACTATGTCCGCAGTCTCTGGTCATCTCCTGTACTATGTCCGCAGTCTCTGGTCATCTCCTGTACTATGTCCGCAGTCTCTGGTCATCTCCTGTACTATGTCCGCAGTCTCTGGTCATCTCTAGTACTATGTCTGCAGTCTCTGGTCATCTCCTGTGTCCGCAGTCTCTGGTCATCCCCTGTACTATGTATGCAGTCCATTGGTTCAGAAGAATATTTTTTTTCTTGTTTTCCTCTTCCAAAACCTAGGTGCGACTTATGGAGCAAAAAGTACGGTATACAGTATTTATCTCTCACCTGTGTTGATTGCTATAGGAATTTCCTCCTCTTTAACCTTCACATGTACATCTTCATCATGCTCACTTTTGACATCTGTGTGAGCCTTTTTGGTGTCTCCAGGGTCTGTGAATAAAGAAGAGAGTGAAGCCCCCTGTACTGAGATGTATGAGAGACCCCAGAGAGTGTGTGTGGGGGGAGACTGCTGTACTGTATGTATTGCAAGGGTCATTTTTTTAACCTAGCAGCTGAAGTACTAGTAACTTATTATATTGTAATATTCTGACAGACGTGCTAGATGCAGATACGCATTCATTTAGAACCCGTCCAGCTTCTAGTATATTTCCATATATGGGCATTGGTTTAACCATTTCAATACCGGGCACTTTCACCCTTTCCTGTCCAGGCCAATTTGCAGCTTTCAGCGCTGTCGCACTTTGAATGACAATTGTGCGGTCATGCAACACTGTACCGATATGAAATTTTTATAATTTTTTTTCACACAAATAGAGCTTTCTTTTGGTAGGATTTAATCACCACTGAGTTTTTTATATGATACTAAATAAAACAAAAAAACACCTGAAACTTAGGAAAAAAAACACACTTTTCCGTTATAAAATTTTGCAAATAAATAACATTTCTTCATAAATTTAGGTCAAAATGTATTCTGATACATTTATTTTGTGAAAATAATAATAATAATTGAATTTGTATTTTTTTCAAATGTTTCTATTATTTTTTTATTTTCTATTACATTTTTTTTTTTTTACTATTTTATTTTTCAGCACACTGTGACCAAAGCAATACAATGTTACCATAGTAACTACTCTGGGCCAGTGATCAGGATTTTTTTGTAACACATTATGATTGCTAATACCAACGTATTTCATTGATATTTGCAGTCATTGTTACTGCATGAAACTGATTCATTCCGTCTTTTGTTGTGATTAGCTGTGAATGGGGGGGGCGGCCAATTTTAGTGTTACCTAGGGCAGCGCAAGATCTAAATACACCATTGCCTCAGACATGAAATATGAACAAAGCATATCCCTCTATAGTGTGTTTCACTCCAGAGCACTAAGTGTCATTTCTGTCTGCTGCCTTATTCCTCTGGTCACTTCTGACAAGTTTTCCTGACACCACATGAAAAATGGGGACAGGGGGAGGGACCTTCAGCAGATTGACAGCCTCAGCTCTGTTCCTGTGAACTGTGTGGAGGGGGGGGGGTGTCCCTTCCCTCCAATCAGCTCTCAGAGCTCTCCTCACTGAGCTCTGCAGTGTGTAATTTCAATTCACTGCCCCTTTTTTTCTGACAGCTCAGATGCGCTTTATAAATGTAGCACTTTTGTAGAGAAGAGGAGATTGCAGATAAACAGGTATAACCTATGTAGGAGGACTTGTTTCATCCCTGTGTATCACCTGTGAGGCCAGTCACTTCACTGGGGATATGGAAAGGTTTTTAACCACTTTAGGTGCTGGACTACAAATTCTTTTTGCAAGAAGCATTTGATCTTGATAATTAAATCCAGGATGCTACTGGAAGCAAGAGCACCCATCTTCCCAGCAGGAGAAGCCTAAAAGAGAAGGCAGTGGAGTCTGCCAAGAAAGCAGCCCTTGTTTCTTCACTCCCCATGTTTAATAGATGTGTGCGATTAAAGACACAAGAAGTTAGAATTGTCAGCTTAAAGTGGTTGTAAACCTCAGAGATTAAATATGACCAAAGCATATCCCTCTATAGTGTATACTTCTCTCATTTAAGAGCACTAAGTGTCATTTATCTCTGCTGCTTTGTATCTCTGCATGAATCACTTTTGACAGGTTTTCCTGACACCAAGAGAAAAATAGTGACAGGGGAGGGATCCCCAGCTGATGGACAGCCTCAGCTCTGTTCCTGTGTGCTCTGTGGAGGGGGGGGGTGTCTCTTCCCTCCAATCAGCTCTCCTCTCGGAGTTCTGCACCCCTTTTTTTTTTAACTATCAGACAAGCTGCATAAAATTCTGGCCTTTGAATGGATGAAGAGGAGAAGAGACTGCAGATAAATAGGTACAACTTACATTATATTGCCAAAAGTATTGGTCAGCCGGGCCTATCCACGCACATGAACTTTAATAGCCTCCCAGTCTTAGTCCGTAGGGTTCAATATTGAGTTGGCCCGCCCTTTGCAGCTATAACAGCTTCAACTCTTCTGGGAAGGCCGTCCACAAGGTTTAGGAGGGTGTCTATGGGAAGGTTTGACCATTCTTCCAGAAGCACATTTGTCAGGTCAGGCACTGATGTCGGGGGAGGAGGCCTGGCTCGCAGTCTCCGCTCTAATTCATCCCAAAGGTGTTCTATGGGGTTGAGGTCAGGACTCTGTGTAGGCCAGTCAAGTTCCTCCACCCCAAACTGGCTCCTCCATGTCTTTATGGATCTTGACTTGTTCACTGGTGCGCAGTCATGTTGGAACAGGAAGGGGCCATCCCCAAACTCTTCCCACAAAGTTGGGAGCATGAAATTGTCCAAAATGTCTTGGTATGCTGACGCCTTAAGAGTTCCCTTCACTGGAACTAGGGGGCCAAGCCCAACCCCTGAAAAACAACCCCACACCATAATCCTACCTCCACCACACTTTACACTTGGCACAATGCAGTGAGGCAAGTACTGTTATCCTGACAACCGCCAAACCTAGACACGTCCATCAGATTGCCAGACAGAAGAGTGTGGTTGGTCACTCCCAGAGAACACGCCTCCTCTGCTCTAGAGTCCAGTGGCGGCGTGCTTTACACCACGGCATCCGACGCTTTGCATTGCACTTGGTGATGTAAGGCTTGGATGCAGCTGCTCGGCCATGGAAACCCATTCCATGAAGCTCTCTATGCACTGTTGTACTAATCTGAAGGCCACACCAAGTTTGGAGGTCTTTAGCTATTGACTCTGCAGACAGTTGGTGTCTTCTGCGCACTGTGCGCTTCAGCATGCGCTGACCCTGTTCTGTCATGTGACGTGGCCTATCACTTGGTGGCTGAGTTGCTGTTGTTCCCAGTTGCTTCCATTTTGTTATAATCCCTCTAACAGTTGAGCGTGGAATATTTAGTAGCCAGGAAATGTCACGGATGGACTTATTGCACAGGTGGCAACCTATCACAGGACCACGCTTGGAGCCACTGAGCTCCTGAGAGCGACCCATTCTTTCACCAATGTTTGTAGAAGCAGTCTGCATGTCTAGGGGCTTGACTGTATACACATGTGACCATGGAGGGGATTGGAACCCCTGAATCCAATGATTTGGAGGGCTGGCCCAATACATTTGGAAATATAGTGTATATAGGAGGATTTGTTTCATCTCTGTGTTTCACCTGAGGCCAGTCACATCACTGGTACAGTTGCAAGAAAAAGTATGTGAACCCCTTGGGATTACGTGGAGTTTTGCATGAATTGGGCATAAAATGTGCTCTGAACATCATCTAAGTCACAACAATAGAAGAACACAGTCTGCTGAACATAATACTACACAAACATTAGATGTTGCCATGGTTTAATTGCACATAACATGTAAACATTCACAGTGCAGGGAGGAAAAAGTATGTGAACCTTTGGACTTAATAACTAGTTGACCCTCCTTTGGCAGCAAAAACCTCAACCAAACGTTTCCTGTAGTTGCAGATCAGACGTGCACAACGATCTGGAGTAATTTTGGACCACTCCTCTTCACAAAACTGTTTCAGTGTAGCAATATTCTTGGGATGTCTGGTGTGAATCGCTCTCTTAAGGTCATGCCACGGCATTTCAATCAGGTTGAGGTCAGGACTCTGACTGGGTGACTCCAGAAGGCGTATTCTGTGCTGTTGCAGTCATTGTTTTGTTGAATTACTTGTATGCTTTGGGTCATTGTCCTGTTGCATCACCCATCCTCTGCCGAGCTTCAGTTGGTGGACAGATGGTCGTACGTTTTCTTGCAAAATGTCTTGATAAACTCTGGAATTCATTTTCCCATCAAAGACAACAATCCGTCCAGGCCCTGAAGCAGCAAAGCAGCCCCAAACCATGATGCTCCCTCCACCATGTTTTACAGTGGGAATGAGGTTTTGATGTTGGTGTGCTGTGCCTTTTTTTTTTCCACACATAGTGTTGTGTGTTCTTCCCAAACAACTCAATCTTGGTTTCATCTGTCCACAGTATATTTTGCCAGTAGTGCTGTGGAACATCCAGGTGCTCTTTTGCAAACTTCAAACGTGCTGCAATATTCTTTTTGGACAGCAATGGCTTCCTCCGTGGTGTCCTCTCATGTACTCCATTCTTGTTTAATGTTTTCCTTATTGTAGATGTGTCAACAAAAATGTTAGCACGTGCCAGAGATTTCTGTAGGTCTTTAGCTGACACTCTGGGATTCTTCTTTACCTCATGCAGCATTCTGCGCTGTGCTCTTGCAGTCATTTTTACAGGATGACAACGCCTAGGGAGAGTAGCAACAGTGCTAAACTTTCTCCATTTGTAGACAGTCTGTCTTACCGTGGACACATGAACATCAAGGCTTTTGGAGATACTTTTGTAACCCTTTACAGCTTCATGCAAGTCAACAATTCTTGATTGTAGGTCTTCTGAGAGCTCTTTTCTGCAAGGCATGGTTCACATCAGACAGTGCTTCTTGAAACCAGTAAACCCAAAACAGGTGTGTGTTTTTTTTAAGGGCA